TTATTTCCGAATAAAAACATCTGTATCCTAAATGGAAACAAATAGATACAATGTTTCAACCGCTGTAAATGAACTGTCAGAACTGTCAGAAATAGCGGAGCTCTCTGCAGTGACACTTTTGCCGGCTGATCGGAAAAAATTCGATTCGTGCACCCGAAGTTTGCTAAAATTCGGATTCGATGCGAATCGAATTTTCCTGATATTCGAAACGAATTCCACTTCGCCAGGTTCGATTCGCTCATCTCTAGTTACCACCTGCCTGGAGTTTGCATGTTCTCCCTGTTCCTGCGTGGGTTTCCTCCGAGTTCTCCGGTTTCCTCTCACACACCCAAAGACATGCTGGTAGGTTAATTGGCTCCTGTCTAAATTGGCCCTATTATGTGTATGTATGAATGTGAGTTAGGGACCGTAGATTGTACACCCCTTGAGGGTTAGGGACTGATGTGAAATGTACAATATATATGTGTAACAACGCTGCGTAAATTGACAGCACTATATAAGTAGCTGTAATAAATAAATAAATTAAACTTCAGCAGTAAGTTGCTCTGAATACTTAAAATTTACAGCTACATTGGGAGTGTGTGAATTCCCATAATTTTTCTTTTTTAATTGATTATTATTACGAGATATCACTCTTATATGTTCAAAGCTTCGAAAATATCCGCTGGCCCACCACTGGCATTCCAATGCAGTGTTGTATCTTATGTAGTGCTACCCTCTTGAGGGCGGCTGAGTTCTTGGATCCCCCTAAGCTCTGCACAGCAAGCAACATGCATTTTCCACATGTTCATCCAAAGTCAGTAAACAGTCCATGAGTTTGTTTTTTTTGTTATTTTTATTAGGGGTTAACAACTTGGATGGGGTCTAGAGGTATATGGGATGCCCATTGGAACTGGACAACTTGAAAGACAAAAATAGCAAGAATATAGCAAAAATCACAAAAGAACAAATGGATCGTCTCTTTTCCTTCAAGAGTGGCACTTTCATTCTGACAGATTAGCACACAGTCTTTGCAAGGAGCACTTGGTCCCCTTAAATTAACCTCTCCAGACCCCAGATGAAAATCCTCTCATCCACCTGGCTGTCATGAGAGTATCCCAGGGCAAGGAATTCTGAGAAACACAAAAAATGTAGTCCCAGGGAGAACTAGTTGGATTCAGCACCTGACTGCCCTCAGCAGGCCCAAAGGGTGTAGAAATACTCAAACTGTCCTGTTCCTGTAGCTTTAAAGGTTGAAGCTGCATTCAGGTCTTACGCTGGGCTGGCTCCTTCCTTGCTGACAGGCTTTGGGACAGTGGACAGTGGAGGTCCTTCTGTCCAGCTTTAGCCTGTAGGCAGATCACCCTTCTCTGGGGCTTCCTCCCAGACTTCACACCAACAGCACTTCCTCACTCCATATTCCACTCCACTTCCCTGCTGACCAGGCTGTCTCATAATTAAGTAATATATTAAAGGCAAAATCGGGATCCACTGCAGAAGAAAATTTAGATTAATATAATGTTTTGCCGACTCATCCTGGATTTAGGCGTAGTGTCCTCAGGACCAACGCAATGTTTGCAAAAAAGAGCCTGTGAGTGGAGAACCCACAAGAAAAGAGGTCCACTAAAGAACAATCTGCAGCTTAAAATAATTGTGTTTTATTGACAAGATATCTACCAAATATCAAAAATACTAATACCCCTCCACCCTGCACAATAAAACAAAAATGACAACGTTGCCATATTATAAAAACACCAGCCCAGGCATGCAGGCAACCTCTCCACTCATACTGGACACACAAGTATGGAATTGCAAAAATAGCGGGCTATGAGGCCCAATGATAAACTGATAGAGCTAAAATGATCTGAGGTAGAGACTGACTAGAGGAAATGAAATTCCACATATCTTGTAGCAGGACCTCACAGCCTTGTACACAGCAGGATGACAGACTTCAAAGAAGAGGTATGGTCTTGAGAACGCCTTGTGGGTGGGGCAAAACGCGTTGACGTACGTCCGGCTGGTTGTCCCAACGCCCTACGTCCTACATCATTTCCTACGTCATTTCCGGTGAGCGGAACGCACGCCGAGCGGTGCGTTCCAAGCGGCCATTTTGTTAAGTGGAGAACATTTTTCTTTGAAGTCTGTCAGCCTGCTGTGTACAAGGCTGTGAGGTCCTGCTACAAGATTTGTGGAATTTTGTTTTTATCTACAATAAATGCTGGTTATTATCTTTCAAAATGTGAGTGGTCTGGCTTAAAGTATATTTTAAGTAAGAGTCATAACAGTATCACACTATTGTTTTTTTTTCTTCCTGGAACTTGATGGAGTTGGCGAGGGGAACAATTGGAGGAATATCCATATCTCTGAGGTGGAAATAGTGGAGGTCATAAAGGGGGTCCAGGAGCTCTAAATAATCCTGAAAGGTGTTATACTCACCAAATATCTGGTGAGTGCGGTTCATGTTGGTTTTTGCACTGGTGGATGGTGGAAGGATCACTAAAGGCATTGAAGATTTTCAATCAAAGGAAAAAGTTTTTTTGGGGCACTGGACTTTTCTTTCTTCTTTTTTTATATGTGTCACTGGATTTTTTCTTTTTGTATGGGTCACTTGATTTTTTGTTAATATATTTTTTTGTTTTTATATGTATCACTGGACTTTTAATTTTAATATTTTTTTGACACTTATACCAAAGCATGTGTTTATTATTTATTATTGTTCACTTACACTGATTGGTGTGAGATAGTTTGTGTTTTGCGCTGGTTTTTATATTTGAAAAAAATCAGGTGAATAGAGCTCAACAGAGCAATCAACATTGAAGGGAGTTCCCCAGTATAATAGTGACCTGGTCCAGATGTAAACGGCTCACCCATCCAAGGATCGTCACAAGGCTCAATCAATGTCCTCCCACTGTGTGGTATAAATAATGTTGCATAACCAGTTAGAAATCCATGAGGATATGGGTCTGTGAAGATTGCAATGATGTGTTCGGCGTGGTGTGGCTAGTTCACAAAGTCACGAGAAGGAGCCTAGAAACTCAGGATGCGGGCGTTACATCGCTGTGACGTCAGCGAGTTTTGGCCATGGAGTCACGTGAGCCTCTTCAGGATGCTGCAGCCATAATGTAGAGGACTTATATAGAGACAAAAGGAACCGCAGCCTTAAATGTCATGTTAGCAATTATAGTCTATTATAGTCTGCTACTAATGTCAAGTACAATTAAAAATAGAAGGTGAACCGGTTCTTAAAGAAACAGATCATCATACCATTATAGCAGAAAATACATTGCCCAATTTTATATATATATATATATATATATATATATATATATATATATATTGATTTGTGTCAGTGAACCAGACAGCTAAATATGTAACCAGTATCAAAATGCAAGATATAACTCGTTCTGAATTCACAAATAAACAAAAAAGGGGGACAGAGACTAATTTAGCAGCAAGAGTGAGGCCATAGAGTTATTGTTCCAGAAAGACCTGTAGACTGAATTCATCATTAAGATCTCTAGGTGCTAGGGATCCAAGTCTAAATATCCACTCCTTCTCCTTTCACAGAAGGATTGTAACCTTGCAAAATGTTCTGCCACTGGGGATTATCATGTTTGTTGCTGATGCTACTGAGATGTTCACCAATGCGTACTCGTAACTGGCGTTTAGTCTTCCTGATATATATTTTCTTACAGGGTCATTCAAGCATGTATATCACTCATGTCTTTGCACAGTTCATAAACTGCTTGATATGCTAAACCTTCTGTCTATCTACATCTTAAATCTATCTGTACGATCAACGAACCTACAGATATGACACCGTCCACAGGGATACATACCCTTGAGTGGAGTGAGGTATTTTTTGATATTTGGTACATATCTTGTCAAAAAAACACCCATTGTTTTTAAGCCGCAGATTGTTCTCTAGTGAACCTCTTTTCTTGTGGGTTCTCCACTCACAGGCTCTCATATTTAAAGGCTGACTTAGCTACCATGCCAGGCTTCCTGCCTGAGGATTGGCCAGATTCCCCTAAGTATGCAGATCAGCCCCTCCTCACCCCCCCACACTATTGCAGTGTAACATATTGAGGATGGCCCAAGTGCCAAGTTGGTGTGAAGTCCAGTATTTCCAGCAATGGTGGGCCATCAAGGCCAGCAAAGCCTTCTCTGCTGGCCTAAACACTGCCTAAACTGTCAGGATCACTGACTTACATTTTAATATATTTTCCCCTGAGTGTGTTATTCCCAAAAGCCTATTCTCTTCCTTTCGTAGCCTTTCTTTTGGTTTAGTAGTGCATGTTTATTTTAGAGGTTTTATCCGATCATATTTCAGCCATGATAGCCATCATGTGTTGCCAGGGTCAATTAAATCTGCCTTGAGGCCTTAAGAATCAACAGTGTGGGTGCCTGGGTATCAGTGTGGTGTGTTCAGTGAGTGACAATAACTGACACACTAATCTGGATAGTATCCTCAGAGTCCCCAAACTCCCCACAGTGTGTTTATGATCATCATCATTATGATGATCACAGCACAGCAGGTGCTCTATGGCTCTGCCACAGTGTCACATGGCTGTTGGGTGCTGACTTTGTTAATGTATGTCTGTACTGTATGTTACAGACTGTAACACAGCACAACCATAACAAAATCAGCACCCAAGAGCCATGTGATACCGTATTCATTCATGCAGGATGTCACTGAAGGTCTAGGTGTGAAATATACAGCCACTGAACCAGTGATCCAAGTTTGAAGGAGCCCCCTAGCAGTAAGAAGCTTTGTGGTGCCTACTGTGCTGTTAATTTCATATGTCTTGGGATAAAATATTCTAAGGATCTTAGATTGGATCTGAGGAAGGAAGCAAGGATGGTAGAGGCACCAACAAGATACAGATAGGATCCCGCCAAGGTGCAGGTTTTGAGTGTGCCTCAATTTTACCCTCTTCATGAGACTGGAAACTTGTGCAGCAGGCACTTCAACAGCACTGTCCTGATAATGGTCTTGTTGATGGCAGCCAAGAGCTAGATAGGCTAAGGTTTTTATACAACTGTATATAGTTCAGAGGCGGACTGACCATTTGGAAACTCGGGCACTGCCCGAGGGCCCGGGGTCAGTAGGGGGCCCCATGAAATGCCCCTGGTACCTTTTTTCATAGGCTTTTTTGAGTTTGGGCAAGGACACAGGGGCCCCATGATCCCCTATTGCCCGGGGGCCCCATACGTTGTCAGTCCGCCCCTGATATAGTTTGTGCCAAGAGATAGGACCGAAGCATAACCACAGGTAACAAGAGCTAATCACTGAACAAGGGACAAAGATAAAAACAAAGCTAAGCTAAAGACAGACAGAGTACTATAGAGGCCAGGACAAGCTATGTCTGCAAATAAGCTCAATCCAAAGCATAAAATGACCCCCCCCCCCCCAAAAAAAAAAAAAACAACTCTATAATGACTTTCTAAAATTGCCCTCAGAATTTGCACTAACACCTGCTGACACATAGGTAAGCATCTTAGAGGAAAGCTGTCTGAGGAGTGTGGAGAGAAATCAGTAGTGATGGACCCAAAAGAGTGAGTTGTAGAATAATGGGACTCAGGAAATGTATAAGAAGGGTCTTGAATAGAGGGAGACCAGGAGGACATACTGTAGCCAAAGTTTGAGGCAGCAAGTGGCACAAAGAGGAACCCAGTCAGAGCTCTACAGCTGAGTCTCTGGCAAATATGCTTGATTTAGATAAGCCAATGCATCTTCAGTTGCTGAGAAATGTATATTATACAGAAAATAGCTGTATGTAAGGATGAACAAGTCTGTGGATCAGAAAATATTAAAGGTTATTCAGTCATTTTTCAGACCTACTACTTCACACATATTCTTTTCTGATAAACTCATGTTATTGATCTTTAATGTATGCCATAAGGTGACCAGGCTTTCTGCCGGACTCTCTGTCAATTGATAGTGAGCTGGAATGAGCCGGAAAGGTGGTCTTTTGAACCATTTCTTACTAGTTCACTATCAGTTTATGTTCTGTTGATTATCTTCCAGAACAGATTTCTCTTTGAACACTTACATCTGTTTACTCATCATTTATTGCCTTTTTGGCCTTTATGGCCTATTTTTAATAGAATTTCTTACTAAAACCATAGCTATACCCCCATAATATATTTCTTGGCCTTCTTGGCCTTATAACATTTTTCCTTTTTTTTTTTTTATAATGTTTACATTTATGAAAACTGACAAATTTTGTCACAACTCTTAAAGTAGGGAATGGTTAAAATCCAGGAAAGCAAAGGTAAACTTGCTTGTTCTATTGGCAGATGAAAAGCACAAAGCACAAGTCTAATTTACATTAGACTTGAAGTGTTCAAATCTGTTTGGTCCACTTAGTAGTTATTCTTTGTCTAAGTAAATCTACCCAAGGCCTCACCAGTGGTATATGTCTGTTGGCAAACACTGGCCTAATATGTAGGGCCATTTATCTAGACAGAGACAGATATGTCTTAGCTCTTAGGAGTATTATATATAAAACATAGCTTTTTACAGTGTATGGCTTAAAGCAGACCAATAATAAAAATGGGCTATAGAGTATAGACTAACTAGGTGCCCCATAATAGATTTCCTAACACAAGCAAACAGTGCTTCTACCTTTTTTTTAGCATTCAATAAGCACTCAGCCTTTTCACCCAGCAACAGGCTCCCACAGGCTCCCACAGCAGAGAGAGAGAGAGAATCCTGAACGTCAGTCAGCTCACTTATATAGTGCACCTGTTCAAATACCAGTAGATCAGCAGTTTTTTGAAATACTTGGACTAGCCCGTCTGACACCAACAGCCATGCCACGTTCAAAGTCACTTAAAGTGTTACTAAACCCACAACAGTAAAATCAGTCTGTACATGCAGTAAAGCATGCTTGTTATACTCACTGTGGAACCTAAGGGTTAATCCTCTGCATTGTGTAAAAAGGCAGTTCGATCCTGACTTCTCTGCTCCTCCTCTTGTTCAAATGTCCACGTCTTATCTTTTCAGAATGCATGTTTTCAGCACAGGGCCAATCAGCACAGTCCAGACAGAGGTGAGGGCTTTTGTTTCCTCCTAAAGCAGAAAGAAAACTCCTCCTACAAGCTTTAAACATTGCTCTGCCGGACACTGATAGAAGTCACAAGACTGCTGCAACTGCTGATAATAAACGGTATTTAGAAGTTTATATTTACTAAAATAATTGCACTTACATGTTCTGTATAATGTGGGAGACCAGATATAGTGAATGCAGGGTCCTGGGTTTAGTAACATTTCTCCATTCTGATGCTGGGTTTGAACTTCAGCAAGTCATCTTCACCATGTCTTGATGCCTAAATGCATTGAGTTGCTGCCATGTGGTTGGCTAATTAGCAATTTGTGTTACCAAGCAATTGAGCAGGTGTCCCTGATACAGTGGCTGTGTATAAAGGCCTGTGAACAGCTGAGATTAATATTGAGGTCTGGCTGCTAGGTAAATGTGGACCTAGGAATGGAGGCATTATCCCACCCAATGTTTTACAAAACCTCTGGCCTCCAGGACCCAGATGGAAATTTAGGATTCTGAGACAACAAAAAGTTTATTTTCTCCAAATCAGCCATAAGCCCTGGAGCACCTCACCATGTGTAGATAAGAAAACATAAACACAATCAACAATTCTTCTCACCAGTCCTTCACAGTATTAAAAAGGTAAAAATAGCTAAAATATGTTGAAATGGCTCAAGTTGAACTAGGCATGGTACCAAACATCTCTCTTTGTTCCACATTGAAAGGCCTATGCCTTTGCTACTATACCTACAAGGACTGTACTCAGGTAAAATTCTCATGCATATATCTCTGTAAGAATATATTGTTTTCTGGCAAGATATGTATGTAGTACTTACTGTAGGAGCCACTGGAAATTTGCCCAGGTTCTTCCCTAGTAGACTGCCCGGCAGCTAGGAAAAGGAACACAGTCATTCTTCCTCAATAACCAGACTAGGGGTGTTGTTTTTATTTTTTGGAAAACTTAGGGATGAGGGAATTGAGAGGGATACTCCAAAAACAGAAACTATGTAGAACTTGAGGACAGTGAACTCCTTTCTGTAAGGCTGAAGCAGAAGTCCTTGCATTTAGTAAACTGTGGACTTGGTTTGTAGTAGAACAGAGAACGCACACAGGCTTCTTTCTTTAGTGCAACAAGTGCAATAAAAGCACACAGACTTCTTTCTCTAGAGTAAGAAGAGCAGAGTCCCTTCACAGAGAACTAGACAAGCTAATCTCACAAGGACACCAGGCGATGTCTCCTATAGCAAACACACAACTGACTCACTAGCACAAGAGGGGTGGGGTGGCAGCAGCCCAAAAGTCTCTAAGATCTCTCAGCAGTCTACTCACAAAATGTCCAGGGAAAGCTGGTTGCCTCCTTCCAACTTCCAAGCGACACTTTCCCCAGTGATACCTGACTAGATCTTCAGCAGATAGCCCCTCAGTCAGCTCTCAGTAGCTTCAGCATCCAGGCCCACCCAAGGCCTCTCAAACAGCAAGCACATGGCACTGTTGCCTTGCAGCCACCCTCCAGGCTGGACTGATCCTCAGCAGGAAAAGACCCCAAACTCAGTGCACTCAGAGAATATATACAGTCTTCCAGTACCATTCAGGGCCCTACTCCCTGGGATTGGCCATGGTTGTATAAATATGCATGCTGCCATCTGCATGTCTCCACACCTATAATCCAGAAAGTCCTACTGATTTCTGTAAAAGAGAATGAGCTATCAGAGTGACAGCAACTGAGACCACTGAACAGACCTAACTAGTTAATTGCAGACAATATTGAGTACAGTGAGGCAAGCTAAATTTACCTGACAAAAATACATACAGCTCCAGTAAACACAGTGAGAAGAACTCACTTTATTTCTCGAGATGGCTTGCAATCATCCAATCATTTTAGAACACACCACAATAAGGATCCTAAGTCATTTAAATTTTGTGGCATAGATAGGGTTGAGAAACATTGAAGTGGGACCAACATGAGGGAAGCCATCTCGAGAAATTAATCCCAGTGGATTTACCATTTGAACACGTTAGTTCCCAAGGGCCTCAATATCAAGATGGATGTCAATTGTTTTATTACTAATTTTTAGTTTAATGTATCTTAATATATTTCATATTATGGTCTACATTCAGTTTTTATATTTTATGTTTAGTTATTTATTACACACACTGTTTCAGGTATTTAATGCATATTGAGCTTCGCATGTGATGATATGACCTCTTTTTAACAGCAGGGGGCTCCACCATTATTTTCATTATTATGTTATAGCGCTTAGCGGATGTCCTTGCAGGAACAGCATTATGGATATGGGCAATACATCTTAGTATGTTATACACTGTTATTTGTGGGACTTAGATGTTTATTTTGCAAATTCCCCAGTCCGCATAATACAGTATTTTATCTACTGCATTATGTATCAGAAAGAGTACCAAGAGGAGGGACTGACTTCCGGTCCTCGAACACTTCCCGTTTTCTCTTGGGGGTACCAAGATGGTACATGCTGTTGTACTACTCACGGACTTGGTGTAGGAGGTGGAGATTTATCCTAGATTGTAAGCTCGAAAGAGCAGGGCCCTTGAACCCCTCGTGTATTTTTTGTTGCTGTATTGTCTCATGTTCTGTCCCCCACTATAATGTACAGCGCTGAGCAAACCTTTTTGGCGCTATATAAATACTGTATAATAATAATATAAATGTATTCATCTATCCAGGGACAGACTGACAACTCATGGGGCCCCTGGGCAATAGGAAATCATGGGGCAACTGTGTTCTCACCCACACTCAAACCACACCCAAAAAAGTCTATGAAAGGTACCAGGGGTATCTCATGGGGCCCCCTACTGACCCCCCGGGCCTTCGGGCAGTGCCTGAGGGCCCGAATGGTCAGTCCGCCCCTGCACCTATCACCATGGAGCTATGCCTCTGAGGACGCTCAGTGGGAGGGGCGAAATGCATCAGTGATATTAAGCTTAGGAGCTTTGTGGAATATTAGCTACTTACTATTATACACTTGGAGATTCATGCCTATTGTATCTGGAAACATGTGAGTGCAATACCAGTGTGTCTGCTTTTACTAATAAACGGAATTACACTAGTGTGCATGCCTCTCTCCATTCCTTACATGTATATATCTATCAGCTCTACATTTGAATCACTGGGAATGACAAGCAATATTTAATCAGGAAGACTGCAAGCTTCAGCATGCCTTCCTATGCCCCACCAAAAGCGTGAAAGACTCTTATTTCATCATAAGAATCCAATAAAGTTGGTGAGTGAGGGGGCATAAGGGCAGGGAGCACAGAGCACTTATCACCTTCTGGATGTGAAAGGGATTTTTGTTCACTTGATTTCACAATCGGGACTTTATTTCACTATTTATTGTTATGTGTTCATTATTTAAGCAAGTTTTTCATGTCATATAACATACATTGAGGCAGCGCTCCTGCTATTTTGTGTATTATATGGAGAAGTAGAGTACAAAGACTTAATAAAGGCTTTTTTTAAAGTTTTAGTTGACAGTAGAGAGATAAACTACCAGAAAACATTTTATAATTCTTTGTGACTATTTTTGCCAAACACTACACTTGAACTCCTGCACTTTGCCCAGCCCGCCTTACAATAAAAAGCCCTGTCACCTTGCACTATGCAATATAGGTCCTTACTTTATAAGGTGACGGCTTTATGGGGAGAGAATCAATGGTCCACTGAGGGAGTATATTTTCCTCTTTGGAGTGTGCAAAACAATTATGAGTGTGATTGCGCTTCAAATATTAGGTGTTAAAATAGCTAAAACAATAAAGTTATATACATAACACTGTGTAACAATGTATCTAAAAAATAACCACTTTCAAAAATATTGTACTCGCAAAATTATGCTGCTCAGTTCACAATGTGTCCATAATAATTACCTTGCAATCACAGGTGCACCACTTTAAATGCAGGATTAAAGAATATGTAAACCATTCAGTATAAATTAGAAATGAAAAGCAAAACATTCATGCATACATATAAAAAAAAACATTATAAATACCTTTTTTGCCCTCAGCTACATAAGGAGCTCAGGAAGGAAAAACAGCAGTACACTAATCTTCCCAGTAAATGGCTGCTTGTCAGCAGAAGTTTGATCATTGGATTAGCACAGCTAAGCAACTGACCATGCTGTGTTCTCATGTCCAGTTTTTAATAGGAAAACATACAGGTACATACAGGTACTGCAGGTACATATCAGGAATATATCAGGTATATGAAATGTTATTCTTTAAGGCACCCCTCAAGCATGCTATTTAACCACCTCCCGCCCGCCATATAGTAAGGTGGTTCTCTTGTTCTGGGAGGACTTCATATGATGTCCTCCCATTCTCACTGCGCATGCGCGGCTCAGGGAGCGCGCAGCGCGGCGGCGATCGGCGGTGCGCTGTGTCCCTCAAAAACAGCGGATCACCGATCATGGAAAAAGTGGAAGATGTCAGCTCGGTCATGTGATCAGCTGTGTCCAATCACAGCTGATCACACGTAAACAGGGAAATTCCGGTTATCGGCATTTCTCTCCTCTCGAGCTGTCACGCTGACAGCTCGAGAGGAGAGTCAGTAATCAGCTTTCCGCAGAGGGGACATGTACACTGATCATCAGGGCACTGATGATCAGTGTGCCCTGATGATCAGTGTAGCCCCAGCAGTGCCACCTGCCAGTGTCCATCAATGATTTGTGTCAGTGCTCATCAGTGCCTCATGCCAGTGCCCATCAGTTCCACATCAATGCCACATATCAGTGCCTACCAGTGCACATCAATGCCACATATCAGTGCCCATCTGAGCTGCCTTTCAGTGTCACCCATCAGTGCCAGTCAATGCCACCTATCAATGCCAATCAGTGCCACCTATCAATGCCAATCAGTGCCACCTATCAGTGTCCATCAGTGCAGCCTCCAGTACCCATTACTGCGCACATTAGTGAAGGAGAAAAATCACTTATTTACAAAATTTTATAACAAAAACTAAGAAAAAAAACATTTTCTTTCAAAATTTTCAGTGGTTTTTTTTAGTTTGTTTAAGAAAAAATAAAAAACCCAGAGTTGATTAAATACCACCAAAATAAAGCTCTATCTGTCACAAAAAAATGATAAAAATTTCATATGGGTACAGTGTTGCATGACCGTGCAATTGCCATTCAAAGTGTGACAGCGCTGAAAGCTGGAAATTGGCTTGGGCAGGAAGGGAGTATAAGTGCCCTGTAGGCTTGTGGTTAAAGAAATTGTTGCTGCCCTTTAAGCTCCCTGCCGAATTGTATTTTTTACAAACATTCTTTTGCATTGGAACTTGCATAGGCCTCAGCCCAGCCTTAGCAGTAAGGTGAACAGGGAAGGGCAATGCACATCGCAAACAAAGGTTTTTGTTAAGGCTTGTTATAAGTTGGGAAAGTTGCCATTTTTTGTGCAGTTGGCTAATTTGGATGCAGGGATGTACTGTGTGCCTTTAAGGAGTGATGGGCTCCTCCAGGCACACCTGCCCTTAATCTACCAATTGATTGATATGTGTGCTCTTACTATGGAGGCTCTGGAAATTTTAGAGTTAGGTCCACAGTATACAGAGGACCTTTGACTCGGGACTATGGCTTACACATGTATTTGCAAATGTGTGCAAACAAAACACTCTGTTTTTAACACAAACTGTTAGACGGGGCCAAATTGGTTGGTGTTTCACAGGCTGGCTGGTTAGTGTTGCTGGGAAATCCTTTGTTTGTGATGTGCATTGCCCCTTCCATGGCCTTCCTTACTGCTAAGGCTGGTTATAGGTTGGGACAGTTGCCATTTTTTGTGCAATGTGTTCTTTTGTACTTGAACTTTACACAGTTGAACCAGTTTTCTGTTTTATTTTATGGATTCTGATGTAGACTATGTCTCATTCTTGGCCATCACCTGTAGTACCCCATATTGTACATATTGTGCTATGAGACTTCTGTACTTCTGACTTATAGTAAATAAAGAATTGTAAAAAAAAAAAAAAAAGAACGTTACAATAGCAATCCTTTCGATGATGACAACTTCAACAAGTTTCGAAGGTGTAGCTACCTCGTTGGCTGGATAAGCAAGGCATTGGTATGTTGCTGGTGAGTGACATTCTGTAGGGTTTCTGATATTGAGTGACGCCTCACTCATCTGGCCAGTAGGAAGTGATGCATGGAAACGGGAATATTTTCTCCCTACTCCTTAGTATATTGTCCATATTGATTCTAGTGTGTTAAGAAACCTCTGTACTTCTGCCTTGTGATAAAAAAAGAATTGAAAAAGAAAAAAAAAAAAAGAACACATTACACTAACAATCCTGTTGATGATAATATATAGGATCTCTGTTTCGAAGGTGTTGCTACCTCATTGGCTGGATGAGCGAGGTATTGCTATGTTGCTGGTAAGTGACATTCTGCAGGGTTTCTGTCATTGAGTGAGTGACACCTCGCTCATCTAGCAAGCAGGGAAGTGATGCATGGAAACAGGGGAATATTTTCCTCCTACGTCTTAGCAATCCTGTTAGGATAGGTTTACACTAGCAGCAGTGCTTACTGCTTCTCTCAAAAGGGATCTGCAATGGACCACTTTTCAGAGGTGTGGCAAATGCTGCACTGCAATGGTGTGTATTACACAGGGGCAGACTGACAACTCATGGGGCCCCCGGCAATAGGGGATCATGGGGCCCCTGTGTCCTTGCCCAAGCTCAAAAAAGCCTATGAAAAAGGTACCAGGGGCATCTCATGGGGCCCCCTACTGACCCCGGGCCCTCGGGCAGTGCCTGAGTTTCCAAATGGTCAGTCCGCCCCTGGTATTACACATGGTTGCAGAGCAGTTTTGGCATGGTCTCATTTGTTTGAATGGGCCACGTTTTGCGATTGTGGCTGTGGCATGTGCACATCCACATTCAGCTGCCTTCGCAGTTTAACCAGGGCAATTTTTTAAGTTTACTTTTACTGAACAGCTGATTGCTGGCTGAAAAGAATTGCACCAAGCTCCTGGCTGAAGCTCCAGCTTATTTTAACCACTTCAAGTCAAAGAGGTTCTAAAATGGCCTAAGGGCGTGAAGTGGAGAAAAGGGGAGGGGTTAAAATGCAGCTCAGCTGCCTCCCTCTCCCAAAATACTACAAAATGCAAATGTAAATGAGTCCTTTTTGTGGACTGCATGTTTGCTATGAAATCTACTCTGGGGAAACCACTTTGTTAATCCCTACCCATCATATGTTGCTGTCTAAAGAATGTACGTAGTAATTATTTTAGTAAGAATAAAAGTTTTTGTTGATATCATTGTAATAATTATTATTTGTAACAAAAGCATTAATTACAGTTATTAAAATTCACAACTATTATTGTTTGGCTATAAAGCACATACCCCGGGGCGGACTGACCATTCGAGCACTCAGGCACTGCCCAAGGGCCCGGGGTCAGTAGGGGGCCCTATGAAAGGCCCCTGGTATCTTTTATAGGCTTTTTTGGGTGTGCTTTGAGTGTGGGCAAGGAAACAGGGGCCCCATGATACCCTATTGCCCGGAGGCCCCATGAGTTGTCAGTCCGCCCCTGCACATACCCATAACCCTTATCAGACAGATTTAAATTCACTAGGTTGCGCTGATTGATATGTTGGTGAACACAGGCCTTGGAAGCGTTACAACATTTCAAAGTGATGAAGATGATGAAGATGAGAATTCTGTACCAACATGGATCTCTACAAGTGATTGCAAATTGAAGAAAAACATAGATATAAATACAGACTGTATATACATGCATAAAAATAATTATTAAAAATAACTTCATAAAAAATAAAAATATGAATTCAGAGGTGGTAGCTGGCAGTATAATAGTAATGCCCTGTTATTAATTATTAGTAGTAGTAGTAGTACATTTATTTTTCATATTAGAACTATTAAAGTATTAGTTTTATTTATTACTTTTTGATTTTGCATTTCTGTTTTAGCCTTGTGATTATTTTGAAGTGTGCTGTTGCTGCATCCAGCGTTATGCACGTTTCTCTTCGACACTTTTAATGAAAGTTGGATTGTGAGCGTACTGACGGCCTTCCCCCCGTACAGTCCTTGGAAAATGCTGCAGAAAAAAAAAAAATCCTGCCACATCCCCTGTCTAAAATTAGATAGTACATTGTCGGCGAGATGACAGCTGTATCCACATTTTCGGAACGTTCTCTCAGTAAAATAACACAGCATCTCTGAAAAAGCATTGTGCTACCTCGAACAAAGCGGTAATGGTCCCGGAGCAGATCATTTTCACAGGGCTGGTGTAAGTAAGATAAAAAGAGAGCATTTCTGAAGAGCTGCTTTTATGGTCTAGGTCAGAGTGCGCTTTCCATGTTGTTCGCTCCCATCTGAATTTCCTAATAGCCTATCTCCTCAGCTAACAGATGCCCAGCCTCATGTCGGAACCAGATCGAGCCACCACAGAGATGCTATCCAACTCCTTTCTTATTGAGCCGTTTCCCTAGCAGATGGTGCAGTGCTGCAGGCACACTCCTTCCTGTTAATTACCAGCCTTATCTACAGATGGAAATGTCAGTCAGCCTCACAGGTCCTGGTTCCTGCCATTGCCTTAGTCCATAGCCCTCTACCTAGGCAAGATGCTGCCAACATACACCATGTGTTTTGTGACTGCTGACTAGGCAGGCTACAAAAAACAACTCGCATTATGAATATTCATGGCGGAATGTTAGGAGTTCTGTTCATCTGTAGCATTTATGTGTTGGCTTAAAGGGGATTAAACAGTGCCTCCTTAAACAAGAACTCTCTAAGCACTGTTTGCCTGTAATATGACAACAGGACATGCTTCTATATGATTTCAGAAAACATCCATCCTTCCTCTGAAGAACGCAACTTGCTTAGGAATTTCCTTAAAGTGTATTCTACTTTTACAGTTACATGTATATGTCTGTTATGGTCCTAGTCATATAGAATACCTGAAAAGTTTTTGCTTTTTTAAAAATACATCTTATTCTTTAAATGTTTACAAGAAAAACGCTTCATGGCTGACTGCAAGCATTTCTGAACTATGTCAGAGTCAGTCTGCCCAACAGAAAGACTAATTAACATACAATGCAAGAAGCCTAGCTTTTAAATCTTTAAGACAGACAGTTTTCAAATCTAGTGTATAACTGATAATGATATCTGCCAACACAGTACAGCCAGTGTTAAAGTAACATTTAACCTTAAGTTTTACAAAAAAATTAAAATAACAAACATGGTATGGGATAAAAATGGGTATACGAGCGCTAGATCAATATAATTATAAGCAGCTGGCATAAAAGGCAAAACCTCTGGACCTTCAGTACACATCTAGTTAAATAATGCAGTGCTGAAATTTTATACAAGGAAATAATATGCAACATAAAAACCAAAATATAAAACATGCGCTGTAGAGCGCTCAAATATATACTGTAAATGTGTGGAAAACGTCTTAAAGATGACGTTTTTAAAGTGCAAAGTGACATAAATGGCTGCAAACCAATATATCATATTTCCAAAGTCCATAAATAGATGAATAAATAATTAAGTGAATTCCGTTACTCCAGTGATTATGAATGATTATATATTGCACTAACCAGATAGCGCAAAATAATGCACATTTGAGTAATCAGACCACTCGTGCTCACCTGGATCTGGGAAGGTGCGGATCAAGGGATCATCTGGCAAACCACCGAAAGACAGGTAATCAGCATGTCATCACTCTCCAGGTATCAGGGTTACTCCATCCATCCATCCTACTCACCCCAATAGT